GATGGTGGTATAGATAAACAGGGTACTCACCACCTCCCACAACCATATCAAAATTACAACTAAAATAAAGAACAACCATTATTCAGAACCACCTGAAATCTAGCTGAACGCAAGTCCTACAACTAGGGAATTAAACAAGAAGCACAATGAGACCAGTAGGAGGGGCAGAGATTCTGGGCTGAATTTCAGGACTGGTGTGTCCAACACCCACGGTTTAAAACCGGGAGGGATATCTCAGTGGTGGAGGTTTCCTGGAAAAGAGAGGGGCCTCAGCTCCACATCAGGCCCCCCAGCCCAGGGTTCCAGTGCCTGGAAGAGAGGTACCACAACTTTGGGCTATAAAAACCAGCCAGGATTGTGGCTTAAAGAAGGCTGAGGCTACTTGAGCCCCAGGCATCTCCTTTTAAAGGGCCCACACACAGACTTACTCGGACTCACTCCCTCTGAGCTCCAGTGCTGGGGCAGCAGCTTGAAAGGAACCTGGGACATTCAGGGAGGAATTAACTTGCCTAGAATCAGGGAGGGAGCTGGAGGGACAGCTTTCTCCCAGACAGAAATGATGGCAGAGGTCATTGTTGCTTTGCTGAGCCCTCCCCTTAGAGAGCTGAGAGGCAGGCACCATATTTGAGTCTCAGTCAACCTGGCTCACACTTTTTGCCCCACCCTGGTGAATCCTTGAGACCCCGCCCCTCCCTACTTGCAAGCTCAAGCAAGCCATTTCCACACAACTGGTCTCTCTTGTCTCATGCTTCAGATTTTCCTAAAATCTCTCAAACAAGCAGCAGCTGGCCTCAGCATGCCCAATACCTCTTGATAAGTGGCCCCAGGCCTGGCACTAGTGGCAGCCTGCATTGGTTCATAGCTTGGCCTCTCCCGGACACCTCCAAGTCCAACACAAGCAGCAGTCACCTACCAGTTGCTGTGTAGCTTATGCTCGGTGGCCCTGGGCAGGGCATAGGCAGAGGCTCACTTTGCACCTCCCAGGAGGCCCCAGAGACAGTGCACCCGGTGGTCAGCTTCAACCACACTGGATTACAATCCTACCATATCCATGACTGACACATTCAAGGGACAGACTCGGTAAGCACCAAAGCCCCACTGAAGCAAATCCTGCTCCATAGGGGTGTCTCCAGCACAGCAGCTCTTTGGCTATAGTTGCAGCTGGTCCTCACAGCAGATTCCTTGGGGGGTCAATTTCTCCCAGTGACGCCAACAGCAATCAAGGCTGATCTACAACAGGACAGTGCACACAGCCCACACAGGGGAGGACCTAGAACACCTAGCTCAGGTGACTGGGGAGGCTGAGCCATTAGGCCCTACAGGACACCTACTACACAAGGCAACTCTATCAATTCCAGGAGGCATAGCAGCTCTACCTAATACACAGACACAAACCCAGGGAAGCAACCAAAATGTGGAGACAAAGAAACATGTCACAAATGAAAGAACAGAAGATATCTCCAGAAAAAGAACTAAGTGAAATGGAAACAAGCAAACTACTAAATACAGAGTTCAAAACAATGCTTATAAGGGTGCTCAAGAAAATTAGTGAGAACATCAACAACATAAAAAATACCAGTCAGAAATAAGGCATATGCTAACTGAAATCAAGAATAATTTACAGGGCCCTAGCTGGTGTGGCTCAGCAGTTGAGCATCGACCTATGATTCCTGGTCAGGGCACATGCCCAGGTTGCCGGCTTGATCCCCACAGGGGGAGTGCAGGAGGCAGCCGATCAATGACTCTCTCCCATAATTGATCTTTTTCTCTCTCTCTCTCCCTTCCTCTCTCTGAAATCAATAAAAATATATTTTAAAAAAGAAAAGAGAATAATTTACAGGCAATCAACAGTAGAGTAAATGACACTGAGAATCACATTAACAATATGGACTATGAGGAAGCAAAAAACATACAATCAGAAGAACAAAAAGAAAAAAGAATTCAAAAATATGAAGTTAGTGTAAGGAGCCTCTGGGACATATTTAAGTGTACCAACATTTGAATAATGGGGATGCTGGAAGGAGAAGAGAGGGAGCTAGAAATTGAAAACCTATTTGAAAACATAATGACAGAAAACTTCCCCTACCTGGGGAAAGAAATAGACTTATAAGTCCAGGAAGCACAGAGGGGATCAAACAAGAGGAATCCAAAGAGACCCACACAAAGACACATCATAATTAAAACGCCAAAGGTTAAAGACAAAGAGAGAATCTTAAAAACAACAAGAGAAAAGCAGTTAGTTACCTACAAGGGAGCTCCCATACAATTGTCGGCAGATTTCTCAACAGAAACCTTAGAGGCCAGAAGGGAGTGGCATGAAATATTCAAAGTGATGAAAAGCAAGGACCTACAACCAAGATTGCTCTACCCAGCAAAGCTATCATTTAGAACTGAAGGTCAGATAAAGAGCTTCTCAGACAAGGAAAAGCTAAAGGAGTTCATCACCATCAAAGTATTATTACATGAAATGTTGAAGGGTCTTTTTAAAGATGAAGTTAATGAACAAAATAAACTGACGAGCAAAATAGATCCACAGACACTGAAACATGCAACAGACTGATGTATTTCATGGGTTGGAGGGGGTGGGGGGAGAGATTAACCAAAAAACATATGCATACATGCAAAGCCCATGGACACAGACAAAAAATAATGTGGTAAAAGCCTGGGGAGGGGCAGGAGTGGGGTAGAGGGGATCAAAGGCGGAAAAAAAGGGCACATCTGTAATACTTTCAGCAATAACGAAATTTAAAACAATGATTAATAGACAAACAAAAGAGACAGGAAGGTTTAAATAGTCATTTATCAACCCTCATCAGAGGAGCACATGCATCCACACAAGGCCATAGACTTGGTGGGGGCAGATGATTAATTGGGGGTGTGCTCTGGGCCATGTCCAGGCTGCTTTCTGGGGTTGGACAAAACCGTGGTTACCCTGTATCTCAAAATCTGTATCTTTCTCATGAAAGGAGAGGGAAGAGGAAAGTTATGTCTACCCATGGAACCTAAGGAAAAATGTTCCCTGTCATGACTGCAAAGTGTTTCCAAGTAGTCCTTTCCTGCACCTGTCTCCCTTGTTGGGTATCCAGTAGATGGGTCCCATCTTCCAAAGGGGGAAGAAAAATGAAATTATTTAGGATCTATTTTGGGGATTCCCATCTGTTTTTGCATGGAGAAAAATGTATGCAATGCCTATTAGCAGAATATTAAGTTTGAGGAATGCAGAGCTATATTAGGGTAAAAGAGAACTTGTTTCTGCTGAGGCAGAGGTGGAGTAGCATCCTTACTGACCTGGGCAGCATTCCTCTCTCACTGCTGCGCCATGCAGTGTATGCTCCTAGTTCTGGAGGACCTCTACCCTTGATGAGCTGAACCCTCCCATGGTCCTTCCTTGCACCTTCTCCCTTTGGTGGCTGTGATAGCACAAACTGGGCCCTGGGTCTCCCTTGCCTCTATGCCAGCCCCTCTTCCACACACCCTGTGCATCTGTGTCCTTTCCTATCCCCACTATCACCAGGACCCTGCCTCTCCCCCTCTGCATGTTCTCCTCTGGAGGCTTCCAGTTTCGGAAAAGTGATCTCACATCTTCTACCCCAACTTCTGGAACAGAATCCAGAGCACCTCTGTGTCCTCCCACACTCCACTATGGACTGTCCCAGCCCCTGACCCTGAGATCAGGCCGAGAGTAAAAGTAAGGACTCCAAACATCTGTAGAAACCTGTCTCCTGATTGTGGTGTACAGAGTCCATCAAGTGAAAACTGGCAATATCCCCAGTAGAATGTCAAGCTCACATGTGAAAAGTCATTTCCGTCTTGTTCCCTGGTGTCTCCTCAGTACTAGGGACAGTGTTCAGTATCAAGTAAAGGGCCCTTAGGTGTTTGTTGAATGAATGAAAGCATTGATGCAGCAATTCCACTTCTATGTATGTGTGCAAATGAACCACTCACGCATGACACAGGGTTTGTGCACAGGAAGGAGAGGAGCAAACAACTGGGGGAAAGTTGGTTTTATTAACTGGCAGTGGTTGATGCAGGGTAAATGAATAATGGGGGTTTGCAACACTGCACAACTGCTGAACAGGAAACAGCATAAAGGGGACGTGCCCAATACACTCTTTTAGTGGAGAAGAGCAGGTAGGAGATACTCATTGTCAAACCACTGGGGAGAGAGTGTGTGTGTACATGTGTACAAATACAGAGAAGAACATCCTAATCAAACTCCTGGAATGTCTTAGAATTCACATCTGGGAAGGGTGAGGGTAGTGCTCTTCTGTGCAAAGATACCTGAGAACGTTTGTTTCCTGAGGTAAATGCATGAATACATAGACAGAAACATGCATTAGGTATAGGCCTTACTCATCAAAGAAACTCTAACATCTAACAGAATATTTGGCACATTAGCAAACAATGCTAAACTTTTCACTGTTGTGATCTTTTTCTTTTACTTGCTGTACACCTGATGGCCAGTAGTTCACTATCTTGCCCATGCTCATGAAGGGCCACCAGGTTCTGCTTCTTTTCATGGGCACTTGTCACATCCCTGAGGTGAAGGTAAGGAGAAAGAAGGAAAATAAGTGAGTTTCACTGCCTGATCCATTAATCCCTAACCTCTTATCCTGACCTGCAGGACCCTGGACACTCCAATTCCCTGTACCTTATGATGTTCACACACCTCCTACTGATCTGAAAAGTGAATCTTCTGCCCATGCCACATGGACTCTCACCTGTTTTATGAGTTTCTAGGCTAGAGGAAGGTATGGCCTATAGTTTGGGAGCTGACCAGGGGTTGGGAGCCAAGGGCATCCTGGGTGGGATGATCTCTGGTTACACAGAGAAGGGAGTAGAAAGAGTGAGGGAAGCCTCATCATTTAGTCTCAGTGCTGCACTCCAAGGGTCTTAGCAAAGGAACAATTTTGGGAAGGAATGACAAGATGGGACACCAGTACCATAAGAACAGTGTGTTTTGCAGGGGTGTGGGCTAGAAGCAAAGGTCACTTACATAGTTAGTCATCTTCCTCGGGGTCACTGATCTCTTCATACACAATATGGTACTTTCTTTCCCTCAGCCTGTGGGCCCAGACATTAGTCTTTTCTTTCCTGATTCCTGTGGGAGAGATGCATAAGTTAATGGAGAGAGGGTCTGGGAGAGTTGGGCCTTGTTTTCTTAGATAAGATGTCTCTTCCTTCCCACAGTCCCTGAATCTATCTTGTCTGTCCTCCACATCCTCAGAGAGACTGAGAGTAGCCCTGCACCAGTACACAACAAATTCCTGTTTGAGTTTTAGCTCCTGGGTCATCCCAATGTCTGGTTAGATTCCCAGCCCCTTTTCTTACCAGAACATTGATTCAGACCTTTCAGCACATACTGTTAAGGGCATATTGTGTGTCAGGCATTGTGCTGAGGGCTGCAGATACAACTCTGAGTAAGTCATGTTTGCAGGTTACACAGGCAGAATTACTTGAGGACCTTTCAGGTAAAATTAATGAGCTATGATTCTTTATTTCCATTTTATGGAATAAGAACCTGGAGCTCAGAGAACTGGATGACTTGTCCACAGTAACAGGGAATTCATGACAATGACAATTCAATCTGTGACTCTTAAGTCCTGTTCTCAGCTCTCAGCTGGAGTTGAACAGGCTCCAAAGTCCAACCTGGACCTAGGCCTGCTCAGGATTCAGCCCCCAGGCTAATGAAGCCAGAGTAGACTTTCCCTCCAATTCCCCCATTACCTGGCAGCTCCTCCTTTGGCTGACCAACGTCCATCCCTTTAGCAGGTGGGCAGAGCAGTTTCTGAGCTGGTTCTGCGTCTGGCGTTACTGGTAGTGGCTTCAAGTAATTTTCTTCCCTTGTTTCTTTCACGGGCATCATCTTGTTCATGTGAAGGGCACATATAAACACTATCAGAGACATTATCTCTGGTGCTTAAAACTTACAAAGTGTCTTCATGTGCAATGCCTTAATGAAAATTCTCCAGAACTCTGGGAGATTATATGACCGGTACCTCAATAGTGAGGAACCTGAACAGTTAGAAAGAAAAGGGGTGACCTAAATGAGGGTGTTTTGAGGACTAGAACACTTGGTATCTTCCTATTTCCAGTCCTATACTCTGGCAAACAGCAGAAGTCTCTATGTAAGTGGAAGTGTGGTATACAGAAGATCTGTGGAACAATAGCATTCTAAGAAGCGACGAAGTCTATGAAAGCAATGAAGGGCTTCTATCAAATACAGATGACCACACATAAGCGAATAGACAGGTGCTGGGAGAGTAAATGTAGCTTCTGCACAGCAAAAGCATAAACAAAATGGAAAGGGATCCCACTGTACTGGGGAACATATTTGCTAATGGTACATCTGATAAGGGTTAATTTTCAAAATACATAAAGAACTGTTACACAACTTAACAAAAGGAAGACAATCAATCCAATTACAAAATGGGCAAAGGGGAGATTTGAACTAGACGGTGGCGGCAGTAACCATGGTCCCTGCCACCTCCCACAAACACATCAAAATTACAACTAAAATGCAGAACAACCATCACTCAGAGCCTCCTGAAATCTAGCTGAACAGAAGTCCTACAACCAGGGAACTGAAGAAGCATCAAGACCAGTAGGAGGGGCAGAGACACCAGTGGAATGGGGCTGAATCCCGGACACTCAGCCTCAGGCCCACACCCAGGTGCCGCAGGTTAAAACCGGGAGGGACATCTTGGTGGGGGAGGTTTCCTGGAGGAGTGAGGGGTCCTAGCCCTACATCAGGCCCCCAGCCTTGGGTTCCAGTACCAGAAAGAGATGTCCCCACAACTTTGGGCTGTAAAAACCAGCGGGGATTGTGGCTGAATGATGCAGCGGCTGCAGGAGCCCAAGGCTTTCCTCTTAAAGGGGCTGCACACGGACTCACTCAGACTTGCTCCCTCTGAGCTTCACGCCAGGCAGCATCTTGAAAGGACCTAGGACATTTGAGGAGGAACTAACTTGCCTGGAGTCAGGGCGAGAGCTGGAGGGGCAGCTTTCTCCCAGAAGGAAGAGTTGGCAGAGGCCATTGCTCCTTTGAGGAACCCTCCCCGCACAAAGCCAGCAGGCAGGTGCCATATTTGAATTTCCAGCACCTGACTCATACCTTTGGCCCCGCCCTGGCTATTCCCAGAC